ACACGGCACGACAGAGGTCCAAGGCCCTCCTGGCATGTGGCCCCTACCCCTCTGCTCCTGCACAGAGGTGTCCTCAGCTCCCCACTCCTGCACAGATGTGCCTCTGCAAGCTCTACTCCCAAATCTCAGCCTCCTAAACAGAAGTCCAGGCAGGGCCAGGTTGGGTGTTTAATTCCACTCCCGTGATAAATCTCCTCCTGTGATAAATCACAGCTGGAACAGGGTCACCACTGGTATTACCACAAACAAATCCATGTGTTGTGTTTGTTCCACCAAACTCGAAAAGGCCAAATTTGCAAAGCTTTGTTGCACAGGTCTCATCAGTAGCTGTGCAAATCTCCTCCTGGGTTCCAGAGAAGTGCTACCCAAGAGCAAGGGAAGATGGTGACGAGGCAGGATGTCCTCTCTGCGAGGACAGAGCAGGTGCAGCAGTCACACCTGAGCCGAGCACACCCACCCTGCTGCTCTCTGAAGGCAGCAAAGCCCAAACCCTGGGACAGCTTTTCCTAGAGCTCAAACACCACCACCAACCTGAGCTTCCCTGTGAAAAACCCAAACCCACAGAACCCTCATTCCAGCCCGGATCGGTGCTACTGCTGCTGGACAAAGCGCGGAGGAGAAAACCTGGAAACACCAGGGCAGGTCTGAGGGTTTGCAGCCAGGGGAGGGACACTGTGTGATCCTTCACTGGGCAGCTGCTGTTTCTCATCCTTCCTCAGCACTCCTAATTGCTTCCAGTACCTTCAGCATTTGTACTTCTCCCCGATCCCCACAGGAGGAGCCTCAGCACCACATTAGCAGGCAGAATGGGAGACTGCCCAAGAGCTGCTGCAGTTACACACAGCTGTCCTTCCACTCAGGAGCCAGGAAAGGGGTTTTTTAAATGGCTATGAAAGAGCACATTGATCAATCTGGAAAGAGTTTCTAGGGATATTTTCCGTGGACTGAGATGTCTTGAGTCAGAGGCACTGAGTGCATCAGGAGCTATAACCTGAGAATGTGATTCTCAATCTGCTGTGCAGGAGGTGATTTATGGGGACAAAGTTACATCAGAAAGCATTTGCAGGATAACAAGGTGAAACACACCTTTAACACCTTCTCTGCCAGCAAATCACAGGAGACTTCAGAAGTGTTAAGAGAGGGGCTGGTGAGACAGCTTCACCCTGGGAACAGGCAGAACTGGGTTCTGGAAATCATGTGTTTCTTTCCTGACACCACCACAGGCTCCTTCTGTGCCCTACAGCACATTTTCCCCTTCTGAATGCTCTCACATCACCTTCTGCTGCTTTTCCCATCCTCAGCTATAGGACTGGTGAGACCTCCAAGGGCAGAGCAAGGCACCTGCCAAGGCTAACCCCAGCCCAGAGCACCAGGCCCACCCTGCCCAGGCTCTCTGGTTTTCCAGCAGGCAGAGGATGGGATGCATCGCCCCAGGAGCCAGGATCCACCTGGAGCAGCAGTGTGGGCCCAGGGGGCTGCAGATGCTCCAGGGTCCCACCTTCGGGGCAGCACCTGTGATTGCAAAGATCTCAGTTGGCCTCTGGTCTCTGTTCTGGCACAGGCAAACAACTAAACTCCATCTCTCCCACTGAAATCTGCTGGCATTAGCAACAGTTGCTGCAGTAACTGCTCCTGAGGCTGGTTAATTAGAAACCTATAGACTGATGTTACATGAGAAATAAAAGATCTTTTCTTTTTCAGGTGTTCAATTATTAATAAATTAATGAGATGGAAATTGAAGGAAAAATGGTTCTTATTCTGAAGGAAGTTAATATAAAATCTAGAATGCATTCTCTTCCAGCTGATTAACTTTGAGATGGATGTAATATCCTCAAGAGATTTAGTTTGCCTCTTCTCTTTAGTTTATATTCAGATTTGCACTGAAGTAGTTTCTATATTCAGACTAGATCTTGAAGGAATTTTCTTTTACAGAGTGAGTTTTCCTACTTGGAAAGAGAAAACAGAACAAAGACATTTATGAGATGTGGCAAAACCTAAATGTTACTGATCAGAGAAGACTCAACCTGAGCCCAGTTTTCCAGCACTAAACCCAAGTGCATTCTGCAAGCCTTGGGGAGGACACTGACTGCACAGCCCTTTACAGTCTCGGCAGCTGCAACCGCCGCGCCGGAGCATGGGCCAATTCCTGCTCTGCCTCCTGCATCAAGTGGGGAGAAAAGCTGCCCCATTCTGCCACCAAACTGCTGACTGTCACCTCGAGCCGCAGCACTGCTCCCCACTCCTGTGCTGCTCAGCTCTGAGCACACCCCTGTTCCACCTCGCTCAGGGATAACCGTTCCGCTCTTAGCATGTCCTCACACTCAGCACAAGCATTTGCTTTTCTTTCACTCTTTCACTCCT